GTTTTTGCGCTTCCGCTGATTCTGGTTTATTTTGGGCTTGTGTTGTCTCTCGCACCACATGTTTTGTGCCGTACGAAACATGTCGTGTGCTTCAATGCGCAGCTCACAACACATATTGCGCTTGCGCTCCGCCGCGCATGTTGTGCACACCGCAAAAGATGACTCAACAATAGGCGGAGCCACTTTTGCTTCCAGCAACAGAACATGCAACTAACAAACCATACCATGATAGCGTAACTGAAACACCTTGGGGCACTGGGACCCACGTATATGCCTGGATCGCAGCGTGGGCTTGTCAAGTGCACGTTTGCTCGGCCCACCGATTGAGGTCGCACGCAGAGCACCCACCTCTCGGCGCGGGGGGGGGGGAAGCAAATTCAAATATGCCTTACCACTCAAAACTCATCAAAAGCTCCTGGAGTGGTCCACTGTGCATCTTGAGCCAATCCCACAGTCTGAACGACAGCCTCCTTCACATGGCCCCTGAACGCAAGAACACAATAATTATACTGGGCTGATGTGTGGGTTTTCTCACAAAGCAACAAAAACTCTCCCTGCAACTAAAATGGGCCAACGTGGCTGGCATGTCCCCGAAAGAAAGACAATTTTCCGAATACCAAACAGGCGTGACCTCCACTTCCAAGTTAGTTCCAGGGAGTGTATGTCATTGTTGATTCGATCTCATTCAGGCCCTCCGGCCGAAGCGGTCGATGGGGTAGTCACGTTCAACAGGAAACCAGCTCCGCCCTTCCCCTGTCTCTTTTGACAAGCAAAACACGGCGGTAGGATTACCCACCTCGGACCTTACAGGGCCGTTTGAGTTTCATACTCCAGTGAGCGTGGAGTGCCCAGAGCCGGTGCTGGAAGTGCACGCGGCCAGGGCCTCCGTGGAAGGTTTTCATGTGTTTTCATGTGATCTCCGGGCGATGTCTGGGGGAGCTCGTCGGAAGCTCGTCATGTGCGCTTCGGCGGGTGGTTGTGAGGTGTTGTGGGTGCGGGCTTCCTGACACGATGATCACCGGCCATGGGTCGCCAGCTTCACCTCTCCTCTCTCCTCGACAGTAGCCGCCTGGATCTTCCAACTGTGACACATTTCTGCCTTTTCAGTCCTTTCATGCGTAAAAAAGCAGCCAAAAGGATCCAAAATGATCCCCGTTGAAGTGTCTAATCTAAAACCTTGAGGCCACTACTGAGCGATCATTTTGTAGAGACCCAGGTTTGGTCCTGTAAAAGTTGCGTTTTGGGAGGGTTGCACATTTGGTGGAGCCAAGCGCCACTAATTTCATTTTGATTCAGTTTGCAGCAGTGAAAATCTCTACAACATGCAAAATTCGTATCATTCTATAGACACAAGGTGCCATTTTGTAGAGAAAAAGAACTTGCTTCTCCACAAAGTGTTACTTTGACTGCTGAGGTTTGTGGGACATCTCTGCATTTTGTAGAGAAACGACGCGCGCGCGTGTTGTATAAAATGAAGTCGTGCCACCCTTTCTATATAGATATGTTTTTCCCCACATCTCTGTGTGGGGTTCTAGTTTTGTTGGCTGGCATCCCGCCCGCATCCGCCGGTCCTTCCGTCCTCCTCGCCCCCTCCTCCGTCGCTCACTCACTCTCACTCACTCACTCACTCACTCATTCTTCACATCACTCACTCACTCACTGACACAACACAAGATCTCACCACTCACTCACTCACTCACTCACTCCCCTCACTCACTCACTCACTCACTCACTCACTCACACTCCCAGAGCCTGTCATCCAGAGACTGCAGAAGGGGCTGCGGCGCGCGTTGTCGCCGCTGGGCCCCCCTCTCTCTCCGCAGGCGCAGTACCCAGAGCCTCCAGAAGGGGCTGCGGCGCGCGTTG